AACATTTTGCACGCATATGGAACGTGAACTTTTGAAACCTACATATATAAGTTTTACCAAAAACAATAAATTATTTAAACCAAATTATCTTATGCATCATTAGTTTATCCCTTACCATTACAGAATTCTTGCAAATTTTACACTCATAAATTCCTTTGGATGGTTTTGCAATCGCTGGAAGGCCACATATGTCACATACGTGGATATAAAAAGGGTCTGATACATCAAATAATCTTTCCTGTTAAGAAATCATAAAAATTATTTCATATTTACAACAATCAACACCAGAGTGTAAAAATTAATTATACCTTTAAGAATAACGCAGTGCCATGAGAAATCATACAATCTCGTTCCATTTCTCCAAAACGTAATCCTCCTTCACGATTTCGTCCTTCAGCTGGCTGACGAGTTAAAATATTAACGGGACCACGTGCACGAGAACTGTTGAATATAATATTTAATTAAAAACTAAATTCGTTCAAATTCGAAAAAAAAAATAAAATAAAATTATCAATACATACTGTACTTTATCATGTACCATATGCTTCAGTCGTTGATAATATGTTGGACCAATAAAGACCTGCGCAACCAATTTTCTTCCTGTATGACCATTATACATAACCTCTAATCCGCGTGAATGGTAACCTTGTTCTCTTAAATTTTTTGAGAGATCTTCAACAGTTACATCGGTAAATGGTGTCGCATCACCTTCGTTACCGGTTAAAACCGAGAGCTATTTATTTGAACATTAATTATTACGACCAATCTTTTATGAATAAAAACATATATATATATATATAATATAATTAACTACCTTTCCCATCAAGCATTCGATTAAATGACCAATTGTCATTCGACTTGGAATGGCATGTGGATTTATTATGATATCAGGAATTATTCCTTCACGAGTGAAAGGCATGTCTTCTTGGCGATAGACCATACCAATAGTGCCTTTTTGCCCATGTCTGCTGGCAAACTTGTCTGTGATGATCAACGTCATTTAAAAATTGTTAGAGTATCATTTAATAAAGACAATATATCTTACAATTAATGCTATGAAATTAATGCTTGGATGAAATTAATGATTAGATTGTATATACCTCCAATTTCTGGAATTCGTGTACTTCGAATCCTAACTTTGACGAATTTCGCGTTTTCTTGATTTGAACCAAGTAATACTTGGTCAACATAACCAATTTCTGCATATCTTAACATAGTAGATATATCACGATTAATCTGCGTATCAGACCTTTGACCTAGCATAGCAACATCGGGTGGGAGTGGCGTCACTTTTCCAATCAGAATGTCACCTCCTGACACTGCTATTCCTGGAATAATAACACCATCTTCTCCAAGTTTATGATAACTTCCATGTTTTAGACCTATTGTATACTGCGGATCTGGTCTTTCAATAGTTTCAATAGCTAAAACACCCTGCATAGAATAAAATTTATTGAATAACTGAA